TCTAGGACCAATTTTTAATCTATTTGCTCACCCATAAAACCCTGAGCTTCTCCTGTAAAATTAAACGAAGTTTTTTTTCCTTGAACAGCTAAATTTCTTTCAAGCATTGGTTTTCAAATTGAAAATTTCTTTGTTTGGTTGTTTGAGGAAAATTTTCCCTGATATTGAAAAGGTTTTTTTAATTGAGCAAACGAATTTTCAGCTGCTTTACAATAACTTTCGAATAAGTCCTATGAAATGAACGAATATGTCAAAGTCTGTTTCTCCTTATTGGCTTTGGTTTCAAAGTTCAACTAATCAATTACACTGTTGGATTTCCGGTAAAAGTACAAGCTTTTAACTTAAACAGCTCTTCTTAAAAGCGATCCTAAACAAACACTTCAGTGAAAAAAATGACGCACCTGCTGAGTGTTCTCCTTCCAGATATTGAATCTGTCGGATTCTTCTGCAGGAGTTTCGTATGTTTTGTCGTACTTAGTTTTCCATGCGGTGAAAACTTCAAAGAACGAATCGTTTTTATTTGACAATGAAATAGCCAACAAAGCATGTGGCAGAAGCACCGCAACGACAAAAAGAAAAAATGTCATTTTGAAACGAATTGATCAAGAAAATGCTCGCTGGCTGAACAAAAATGATTGTGTGTTTAAAAATTTGGGTTTTATATTGGTATATAAACGGAAGTCCACAAACAGTTCATTTGTTTTATGTCTGGCAATCATCTGATTCAGTTCAAATGAATAAAATGCGACAAAAATATTGTTGTTTGTGGATATGAAGCTGTGGTTGTCCAACTATTATAGCAAACATATAAAACTACGCTTAACTCGTTGGCGACTCAACCAATTTTGAATTATATTTTTTAAAACAATAATTTCACCGCTATTTACAAGGGCTTGATATTATATCAAAATTTGCTCCTAAGAAAGAACTTAAAGAAAGGTTCCCGAGAAAATTGATTTTTTTTGAAAAAAAAAGAGAAAATGCATGCTTCGTAATTAGTTTTTAAAATTTTAAGGGGGTTAATACCTTTGCAACTCGGCTCTAGACTTTTTCCCTGTAAATAACTTCTACCCCAAGACTCATCTCCTAGATCTTGGTCTCGTTTTTTAGCAACGTTTTTGCAACAGGCATGTTTTGAACTTGTGAGCATTTCAAATGACCGGCCTATTCGAAATTTGTTTTTCTACAATGGTTGTAATTTTACCAATTTTTTTATTTTTATTTTTTCTTTTTTTCCGGCTTAACAGGTTTCGGCTAATTTTATTTCGACCTAGTGCTTAGTGACCTTTCATTGCATCGTATGATGACCGAATAAAGTTTTTGTGTGCATGTGTATGTTCTGTGGTGAAAAGGTATGTGAAAAATTTTTAATAGCTCAAAACTTTTTTGAATTGAATTTTTTTTTCGGCACAAAGGGTTTTTGCTCAAGTAATTTTGAATTTAATCCCGCTGCGTGAGTTTTGTTCCGATGCTCACTTTCTAATATGTTCGCTAAATTAAAAAAAAATGTTTGCTTTAAAAAAAATGGGTCTAAATTTTTCGATTTTTTTGACTATTTTGCACAATGACAGAAGTGAGAGAAATATACTTATTAATAAATGATTTGATTTTTTTTATTGCGATTTATTTTCGATTTTTGTCGCTCTGATTTTTTGTTTCATGTTTTTCCTGATAGCAGTTCCAAACCACAAAAAAGGAAAGTATTTTTTTTGGTGTTTGGTTAGTTTTTGTTTCTTTCCCCCGCAAAACAAGACAAGTAAAAGATATTTCAAAAAATCAAACTAACAAGAAGTATGAAAATACGCTTAGTTCATGTTAAGCTGAAAAATTTTAGCGCCTCCTGGGAAAAAATTTTATTAAAAAATCGAAAAAGAATGCTCAGATTTTTACTGTTCTTTTTTTGTGGAAAACTGTGTCTTGTATGCACAATTAAAGAACAGTGTCTGCTCTCGTCCAGATACTATTGCCACACCATGAACAAAAAAATTGTTTCGCCTTGTTTTTGTGATCGGAGCTTTTGATGCTACTTGCTCGGCATCCGGTTAACCTTTTTAACATTCTATTTTCTACCATGTTTTTATTTTGAGGTAACTCTTATGTTTTCAATAGATTTCATTTGAAATCTTTTCTGTAACTTTTGGTTTTAACCTTTGTGTTGTTGCAGACCAAGAAAAATGTTAAATGCCTCAAGCTTTCCTAACTCAAGCTTTACTAGTTTTATTCTTTCCAGGGTAGAAGTGTCAAATTAACGCTTCACAATAGGTTATATAAAAAATTCTACTAACCTTTATTCATTGTTATTTGAAAAAACGCATGATATACATAGTCGGTATCGTTTCAGTTGCTTTTTTCATCGGTTTTTAAGAGTATTAAACACATGCTAACAAAAATTTTTACGAGATCACTTCACAAAATAAGTAGCAAATCATAGTCCAGAAATTTTTAGTATTGGTATAGCATTGTGGTTTTTGTCGCTCGGCATATATTATGGGTTTAAAAACTTCTTGAACTTGTTCACTGGTTACAGCTGCATGGGCTCAATTGAGTGCCCTCTTTCCGAAACTCTTCATCCTGTTTTACAGGTGTTGTGGAGACTCTAGGCCCATAGAGCAGTTAGTAGAGGCGGTAATCATAATGTGAACAAGTTCAAAAACTTTAAATCAACCGGTTACAATGGCATACGACAAGCTATTTTAAGAGCCATAACAAATTTGGTGATGAGTTTTTTTGATAAAAATTCAATTTATAGAGTTTTCATAACTCCTATGATCAGTTTTATTGTAAAAAGTGATTATTACTACTGGTTGGTGTTAACAAATGGTGCTATCAGTAATTTATTTTTGAAACAATAAAAAAATTGAACTTAACGTTTGAAAATAAATCATTTTTTGAACCATCTGACTTTATTTGTGGTAAAAAGACATTAGGGTCACCATCGTGAGGGCGAAGACCTGTGGCTGATCCTAGGAAGAGGTGTTGAAGTTCTTTGAATCTACTTTTTACCGAAAAAAATACGGTTCCAAAAATTTTTTAACCTTTGCGATAGCAAGGGTATTGCAATCGGGTACGAGACTTTTTTCCCGTGGGCAACTTTGTCCGCATAACTTATTGTACTCTTCGAATTGGTGGTTCATTGGATCATAATGAATTCAAATTTTGAAGTGTCTTTTGCATAGCCTGATGGCTAGGAAAACGCCTGGGACGGCAAAGGTTTTGGTTTCGAATCTGACCAAGACCAGTTTTTATTCAAACTGTAATTGTTCCGGTTCAAAAAAGTTTCGGCCTTATATTTGTCTGATTATGTGTTGTCGCCTTAGTTGCCATACCTAGGAACTGTTTATTTTAGCTGTACACAATTTTAATTGCTGTTAATTTTAGCATTTTAAAACTCCGGCTGAATCGAAATTTGATTTTCACATTTGCTTGTTTTTTTACCAGCTCGAATTAATAAAAATTTCTTCTTTTTTTCATTTTTTTGTCTATTTCATCGGCTCAATGAATTTCAGCCTAATTTTATCAACTTAGTGGCTTTTTATAGCGTCGATACGCCCAAAAAAAAAGATTTTTTTGCGCGGTGAGCTCTGAGGGAAAAGGGAATTTTTTATAAGTTAAGATTTTTTGTGAATTTTTTTCAGGACGAAGGGTTTCTGCTCAGGTTTGTGGTTTAGTTATCGTCTGTTAACCATAACTTCAATTCCAATCAACTATCCGGCGCATCTTGCGTAGAGGTAAAACAACTGCTTGAGATGGTAAAGATTTGCAGTTCGAATCCGGTTGGGTCCTTTTTTGCAAACTAGAGTTTTTTCTTCCGATTATCGTCCGTCTGTTTATTTTTGTCGGTTTAGTCGCCGTAGCTTGATGATTCAGCTTTATTCCAAGTTGATTTAACCTCCATGCTTGAAACGACAAAGCCGGGAATTCGCTTCCAGTTGATACCTGTTTTTCTTGCAAACAGAAAATTTTGGCTAACTCAGATTGTCTGTCTGCTTATTTTTGTTTGCTTAGTTCCACAGAAAGCACTATCTTTTGCAAATTTGGCTTCTTTATACCATTCTCAAAGCTCTTTGAAGGGTTTCTAATGGTGCATGCATTAGAAACTTATATTTTGTTCCGGATGTTTTGGGCTTTTGTGCAATTTTCATTGACAAAAACAACTTTTTGATTGTGTTTTTTTTTTCGTTTTATTTTCATTGTCATTCATATTTGTATCGCAAGTGGGGTGAGGCTCAGCTTCGCCTCTGTGTTAAGTTTGTGATTCTGCTCGAAATCATTGTTTTTGTTTCTTAATATAGTACACTGAAAAATTCCAATTTAATGTAGGTTTTCAGAGAACTGAAAGTGAAAAACTCCTAACAAAATCTAGTCAAACATTTCAGCAACAATTTTATAGTAAATTATAATACATTGGTTTTTATTGTGCTTTCCAGAGGTAAAGTATAGTATAATTAAAAATATTATATTAATTCGAAGAAAAAAAGCATGAAACAAATTCTAGAAAAAAGACACGAAATAGGAATTACAGATGAAGCTCTCAAAATCATGATTGTTTTGCATAGAAAACAGAATTTGAACCATTTCAGACCAGCAAACTTTTTTTGTATATTCACATTTTTGAGACTTCAAAACGTTATGTTTACTAACGGCTCGAATGTGAACTGAATTACCGCCTGGTCGTCTCTTAAACAGTTTACAGCTGGGTCGTTTTTCTAAATAATTTAATATAATAGCCGAACTGTGGTCACTACAATTAGTTTCCATTAATGAATTGCTTAGCAAATTTAGTTCATTTTTATGTAAATAAAATGTAGTTTTGTTCATAGAATGCCCGTTCAATCCTTTGCGGCCTGAACGGGCTGGCAGATTTTTAAGTGTTGTTAGAAAAGTATTTGATAATCAAGATTTAAATTTTTGAATTCCGAGAAAATTGACTAAATACCATTTTTAGAGCCAGAGTTCAGATGAAATGTGTCTCCGATAAAACAGGTCTCGTTGTGTATCATCTAGACGATTGGATACATGGCTTCGGTTGCAACTCCGCAGTTGTTGTCCTTGTTCCTTGCCATCATCAAGTACCCGCTCATACCCCAATCTACGCCCCAACTATTTTTGACCAGCCAGTAGTCTTCATTCTGGTCTGTAGTACCATAACCCACAGCCAAAACTGCGTGATCCAGATGTGTGCTACTGCAACGTGCGTTATAGTACACACCACTGCTGTAGAAATGGAACTTCCAAGAGGAAGCGTCGATGCCGATAGATATGGGCCCAATTGTTGCTACTGCCTCTTGAAGAGAGTTTTCATCACCCGAAGCAAGAATAGTGTAATTTTTGACAGTGGCTGCAATTGGTTTTCCGTATTCGGTGCAGAAGTCCGCGAGTCCAGTAGTTCCAGATACGTACGGGTAATCAGCCTCTGATACGGATCCACCGTACTTGACGAGATATTGCATAGCGTTTACTGCTTCGCCCCCGATACAAGCAAAACTAGTCGAGTCACAGTCGACTAGTTGTTGTTCGCTCAAGCTCGTAAGGTTTCCTGAAAGTTAAGAATGTCAATCAAAATACTGTCTAGTTCTTAATTACTGGAAAAATCAGTTAAATATATTTTTTCTAGTCGTAACTAAAAAGGAAGCGGGTGTCACATGCTTAAACCTCAGTTTTTTTCTAATTTCAAGACATCGGAAAGTTTCTTAAGTAGTTTATTTAAACCTTTGCAATTTTTCTTATACTCCATCAGTTTCTTTTCAAGCGATGGTTCTTTTAAGTCTCAACAACGCAAGGAAGAAAACCACTATAAGTTGCATGAAACCGGTGTTGATATCTCTAAAAAGTAAATCGCTTCAACAAATCCCCGCTTATTACAACAATAGATTGCTTTGTTAAACTAAAACATTTTAACCTGTTGCGTTCATGTGTTGTCCTTCCAGAACTCCGGTGGTCGAGAAGGCCCAGCAGCTACCGCATGATCCCTGGTCTTTCACTCCAGTGACGTAGCCTTCTTTTGTCCAGTTCACGCTTTCCGGGAGCCCAGTCGTTACCACAGGAGGATAGTTTCCAGGAACTGGATTGATGGTGCTTTTGAATGTGTTTCTCTGGGCATTGATTTCATCAGTAGTCATGTCTGCGAACTTGTTTATCTCGACATTAAATGTTTCCAGGCCCAACTCGTATCTGACATTGTGCAGCATAATCTGAAACACGCAATAGACACTACATATTCTTTAATTTGCATATTTTGCCTTTTTTGTGAAGAAACGAATCGAAATGTCTAAAATAAAAGCTGATCAGCTCCTCCTTGCTAGTCATAACTACAGTTTATGTTTTGATTGAACTCAAGTGCCGGCATTTTTTTGGAACCTGAACAGTTTTTTGGATATTCTATCAATGTGTGAAATCTCTTCACTGGGATCACTGCATCTTTTATCATTAAAATAGTCCTTTATATCGGTAGAACTTCATTACTTGTACCATTGGATATCCAGTTTTCTTGACCTGCATTAAGTTTTGACCGCATATCTTAGTTTTATTGGATAAGCTTATGAAACCCTGCAGCGTCATGACTAATCAATGTGATAATTATTACCTGCTCGGTGTTGTCCTTCCACGCTTTGAATCTGTTCAACTCCTCGATCGGTGCCTCATATTTTTTATTGTATTTGGTTTTCCACGCGGTGAAAACTTCATAGCTTGGATCGTCCTTGAAAGACAATGGTACGGCGAACAAGTTGAGCGGTAAAAATACCGCTGCGACAATTAAAAAACTCATTTTGGCTATGAACTCAAAAACAGTCCTGATTTTTTGTACACTAGAAAATGATTTGAGGGTCCAAAGTTTGGGTTTTATAGTAAAAAATTTGCGGAAGCCCTGAAACGTGGCCTTTGTTTAATGTATTGTAATCAACTCTCTATATTCATCATCATTGACAAAACATTTGAACAAACATCCGTTAGTAACGTTAAAGATAGCCATCAGTTTAGAACTAAATTATATCTGCTGATGCCAAAGGTTTCATCATTGAATCATGTTTCTATTACTTAATCAGAATAATTTTGAAAACCAAGATTAAAAAAAAATGCACAATTTTTTTTTACTGCAAGCTCTAAATTTTATCTAGATACTCAAATTTTATCACTTTTGCTATCTTCTATCAGGCTATACTCAAATTTTATCATGCTATTATATAACTCAATCATGTCTATTCTTTATTTGAGGCAATGAATTTTGGTATGAAAGAAAATACGCTAATTGGTCGGAACTTTGTTTAATTATTCAGCTCGCATGTTATAAAACCGGAGCGAATGTCAGATTTTATATTAGTTGAGTTTCTTCATTTTCAGTTTGTTTTCATTTTTGAGCAACGAATCTTCGTCACTTATTCAAGTATTTCAGAATGTATAGAAACGTTCATAGATATTTTTATTCGAATTATATTCGCTGATAAAACCGTGAAGCCCCAGTTTTAAAATTAAAACATTATTTCACCTGCAACCAATTTGGGATACGGAAATTATTTGCTGGACCGATACTAACAGGCTTTGCCTGAACTCATCTAGACAAAATTGTTTGGATAAATTCAGATTTTGTAGTGCTTTTTGTACACTTAGCTTGGTGATCACGAATACGACTGGGACGGCAAAGGTCTTGGTTTCGAATCTGACCAGGACCAGTTTTTATTCAAACACTAATTGTTCCGGTTCAAAAAAGTTTCGGCCTAATAATTTTCTGATTCTGTGTCGTCGCCTAATGTGCCATACCTAGGACTTGTTTGTTTCAGCTGCAAAAGATTTTAACTGCAACGAATTTTGACATTTCAAAAATCCGGCTGAATCGAAACTTGCTTTTCACATTTGGTTGTAATTTGGCGAGCGAAATCTTTTTTTAGGCATATCGACACAATAAGAAGCCATTAAGTCAATATTAAATTGGCTAAAATTCATTAAGCCGACAAGAAAAATGAAAACAGAAAAGACATTTTAACTAATTATTCGAGCTGTAATTATTCGAACATTACAGCTCGAATAATTAGTTAAAATTTCTTTTCTTTTTTCATTTTTCTTGTCGGCTTAATGAATTTTAGCCAATTTAATATTGACTTAATGGCTTCTTATTGTGTCGATATGCCTAAAAAAAAAGATTTCGTTCGCGTGTGACGTCTGAGGAAACGGGGACTTTTCTATAAAGTAAGATTTTTTCTACATGAAGGGTTTCTGTTCAGGTTTTTTGGCTTAGTTACCGCCTGGTAACATTTTTTTCAATTCCAACAACTATTTGGCGCATCTCATATAGAGGTAAAAGAACTGCTTGAGATGGCGAAGATTTGCTGTTCGAATTCGGTTGGGCCCTTTTTTGTTCGGATTATCGTCCATCTGTTTGTTTTTGACGGCTTAGTTCCCGTAGTTTGATGATTCAACTTCATTACATTTTGAGTTAACCTCCATGCTTCAGATTGTCTGCTTATTTTTTTGACTTAGTTCCACAGAAAGGACTATTTTGAAAACTTGGCTTCTGTATAGCTTTCTCAAAGCTCTTCGTAGAGTTTTGAATGGTGCAGGCTTCAGAAACTCTAAATTTTGATACGGAAGTTTTGAGCTATTGTGCAATTTTCTTTGACAAAAACAATTTTTGGTTTTTTTTTCGTTTTCTTTTCATAGACATTCATTTTTGTATCGCAAGTGGGGCGAAGCTCAGCTTTGCGATTGTGTTAGGCTTGTGATTCTGCTCGAAATCATTTTTTTTGTTTATTTATAAACTACAGTGAAAAAATCCAATCTAATGTAGATTTTTAGAGAACGAAAAACGAAAAACTCTTAACAAAGTCTAGTCAACCATTTCAGCAACAATTTTACAGAAATTTATAGTACAGTGGTTTTCATTGTGCTTTCCAGAGGTAAAAAATGGTTTTAAAAAACTTTTTCATTGTTTCACATAAAGAATACCATGATACAAATTTTAGACAAAAAAGACCCAAACTGATCGGAAAATAATTACAGGTGAAGCTGCCAAAATGTTAAATGTGTTGTCCGTCCCGAACTCCGGTGGTCGAGAAGTCCCAGCAGCTACCGCATGATGACTGGTCTTTCACTCCAGTGACGTAGCATTCTTTTGTCCAATTCACGCTTTCCGGGATTCCAGTTTTTACGGGAATATGTTTTTCAGGAATTGCGTCGATCGAAACTTTTTGTATTTTTAATGTTTAGTAATTAAATGTCCCTATTAATCATCATTGACAAAATATTTGAACAAGCATCCGTTAGCTAAGTTAGTAATAACCATCAGTTTAGAGTTAAGTTATGCCTGCTGATGCCTAAGGCTTCCTCAATGAATCATGTTTCTATTACTTAATCAGAGTATTTATGAAAACCAAGACTCTTAAAAAATCATCAAAATTATTTACTCAAAACTCTAAATATTAACTAGATAAACAAATTTTATTGTAAAAATTCATTTCAAGCTATACTCAAATTGTATCATGCTATCGTATAACTTAATCATATCTATTCTTTATTTGAGGTAATTGATTTTGGTATGAAAATAAATAAGATAATTGGTCGGAGTTTTTTTTAATATCCAGCTCGCTTGTTATAAAACCGAGGGGAAGGCCAGATTTTATATTAATTAAGTTTCTTTACATTCAGTTTGCTTTCATTTTTTAGCAACGAATCTTGGTTACTTATTCAAGTAATGCAGAATGTAGAGAAATTTTCATAGGTATTTTTATTCGAATTATGTTCGCCAATAAAACCGTGAAGTCCTTTTTTTTAAATAAAACCATATTTTACCTGCAACCAACTTTTGATACGAAAATTATTTGCTGGGCCGATACTAACCGGCTTTGCCTGAGCTCATCTAAAAGCTCAACATCTAAGCAAAATTGTTCGAACCTAGCCGACTAATCCGCACTCAATACTGGAATGTTTGTGGAAAGGCCGCAAAATGTGTTCTTTTCAATTGTTTTTTCCACTTATGAAGACTTTGTTCCAACATAAATTTTCAAGACACCATGTTAAAAAATTAGGGGCTTTACTGTCCCGACTTTTGAAGTAAATAAGCAATATATAAGGAATGTGTTTTGTTTTAATCAGACCTACTTGCAGAAGAATTTTCCCGCCCTTAGATCTTCGTGTTCACAGAATTCTTACGCTTATCACCATACTAACTTGACTTTATATCGCTGTGAAACGAATCTACCTGAACTGCTTGTTGTTCCGACTTTCGATACGAAAGTAACGGAATATTTGTGCTCGGGGTGGGTTTTTTTTCTTCAGACAAATTTCGACTTTTTAACTAGCCATTTTTGACGGAATTTTTTTATATCATTCGAAAGGTATTGTTGTCCTGAGCTTAAATTTGAAAAGAAATTTCACCTGTGATCATTTTTCGTAAAGTTATGAGGGTTTAAAGATTGCCATTTTGGCCATTTTGACCAATTTGGGACAATTAACGCGCGATATAATTCGCGCTATTAACGCGTAAGCGGAGATTTAATCCGTCTTATAAATCGATCCAAATTGGTTGAACAAAGCTTATTTGCCATAATTGATGTGTTACAAGGAACGAAAACTATCTTTTTGTACTTTATATGGCGTGTGGGGGGATGATTTTCTTTAAAAAATTTCAAATTTTAGAAAAAAAAATTTCATTTTATTTTATTTCATATAATGTTTTTATGTTATTACTGCTGCTCCATAAACCTTCAAAAGCAGTCGGAACATTCAGGGCTTCGCCCTGATACGAGCATTCTTGTTTTATACTTTGTGCTGAAAGTGTGACGTGCATTACTTTCGCGTAGATCCACAAAACCTATCTAAATTGAATTAAGACAAGCTAATTGGTCTGATCAAATTCACACACTTAGTCAAATAATAATACTATAAATTTAATTTTATCATCTTAAAACTCAAATCTAGTCAATGGGCCAGTTAATGGGCAGTCCGAAAATTCAGGGATGTGCCCTGATACGAGCAGTCGTGTTACTTTATTTGAACAATGAGCAAGATGGAGTTCAAATCAAGTTTTTGAGAGTTCGACACATAAGTTTCCAAGCCATATAAATACTTTTTAAGGCAAAATCAGGCAAACATAATTTTTCACATCAAAGTTTTCACATCAAAGTTACAATGAAAGATTTGACTGTGAGTAGCACGTCCATCAAGCCACCAAGAGAAGTGAAAAAAGTCTGACCTATAAAATTGAAAACCATATCATAACAAATCGCTTCCCTAAATTGTGAAAATAAATAAGGGTACGGATAGAGACTATTTTATACGAAAACTAAGATACCCTGTTTATATGTTGGATGGTTTCTTTAGAGACTTTATTGAAACTAAAAGCACTCACCATTGGTACCTAAGCTAGGCAAAAAAAGGCTGGCTAGCTGCAGTTTACATCAACACGAATAAAATATATTTATCTACAGAATAAAGCAGTTAAAAAAGTTTGAAACATTTCATAAATGGCTTGTTTTTCTCAAAAACAAAAACTTAATAGGAAAATGAAAAAAGAAATAACTCATGTATCATGCGCTTAGTACTTTTGATAAGGCCGCTTAGGCTCAGACAAAAATCATACTGTTCTGTGAATATGCAACTGAAGTACATACGGCGTCCCAGGTCGCCCATACTACAAAAAATTCTATTTTCAAACTTTTTAGAAAACTTGAAGGAAATTTTCTCCCGCTTGAAAATTTTGTTACAACTTGTGTAATTTTTTTAATGAACGATTGATTTTGGTTTCAGTGAATTACAAAAACAGCTTCAAAATAATTTTTCCGTCACAAAACTATGAGAGTTCAAAAATGAGAAATTTCCTGACACTTTAAACGAGTTTCAAAAAATTGATGATGAGAAATCCATAATTTTGAAAAATTTACTTTTTTCTCAGTTACAATCATGGTAAAACTTTCTGGTTAAGTTTATAATGTATTTGTTCTTTAATGATCGAGTTGTAGTTATTCAGTGGATGAAAATTTTTTGGGGTAATTAAAGCTATACTTTTGATCAGTCGTGTCATACTTTATGGGATGCGTTGTATGTGGCGCTTTGATTGAATTTTTTGGTTGACCCATTTAATAGAATTTAAGTTATATCGTCTAAAGCGCTTTTGATTCTTGTAACACTCTTTGGTAAAGTGGCGAACTTGGTGAACAGTTGTAAGAATCGCATACGAAAAGTTCTGAGATGGTGATTTTTGATTTTTGGTCGTGTCGGGGTAATTCGTTTTACTGATTTGTTAAATTACTGAACGCATCCTAATTAAGCACTGTTTTTTTCGACAGCCCATCGATTCTATGGAACTTTTTTTAAAAACTGACCCTCTCAAATGCTGGAGTATACAATTTTTCTACAAATTAGTGATAACTTGTTTTTTAATGCTTTATCATTTTAATAGTCAACGCTACTTTTGATGAATTATTTTAAACCATCTTTTTTTAAACAAACATTAAAATCGTTAAGGCATTGATTTATCAAGCAAGCCTCACGGAGATAAACATAAGCCAAATAATCAAACAAAATATGACTGAGAACTTCAGTTCCTTGGCAGCAACTTAGCTTAATTAGCAATTATTTAAGCTAGAAATTCAAAGGCTTGATGAACGCTCAACGCAAAGTCATGTTTCATTTTTTCAATATAAATAAATCCATGCTGCGATTCTTCAGCGATTTCTTTTATTTAAAAAGTAAAGCTATCATGTTTTGTCAAAACGTAGAGCAAAGTTGATGGCGACGATAAATTTTTACTTCAAGCGACTGATTGGCTTTAAGTTATTCTCTGAGCTACACGTCAGTTCTTCATTGTAGTGTAAGGTAGCAGCGCTTTTTTTCAATTTGTTCAATATATGAATAAAATTGAAAAAATGAGGCCATTAATAGCCAGCAAAGCGACCATGTGTTGTATCACAATGGTTGTCGTCCTTGCCTTGGCCGTAGAAAATGTCGGAGCTGCGAACAAAGCGCGAACTCTCTTCGATCCAGAGGATCCGAAAGATGGCGAGGAGCCGCAAATGTCGGCCGAGGAGAGAGTGCAGAAGCTACGTGAGTACCGCATTAAGGAACGAGAGCGACGCCAGAAACTTCCGAGGCCCCCTCCTAGGGAGTTTAACTCCCCCCGACTTGAGAACATCTGGAAAGCGGCCAAGGACAGATATGATAACGTAACAGAAGCGGACACGCTGAAAAAAATCAAAAACGACTTAAACGATATTGTCAAATTGGAAAAGACAGTTCGTAAAGATGAAGAGCTGGACGAAAACTCGGAAAAACTTAAAACCCTCAGAGAAAAATTGAAGACCTTTTTCGATAAGTATGAGAAGTTACAGCCACCTCCTTTGCAGCTAACACCGCATAACGACTCAGTTCTCGAGGATCCAACTTTAAAAGAGTATTGGTCTAGGGTGAAACACTTGGACTTCCTGGAGGAAAACGACATTCGAGAGCTTCAAGGCGAGTTCATGTACTGTGAGGACCAGATAAAGGCTTTGAATCATTTCTTGGACAACGATCCAGCGTTCAAGAAGTTCCACGAAGTGGGCCACGATGAAATCACGAAGGTGCTGAAGAAGGGAGAGAACGAAACGGAGAAGTTTATGGAGGCCATCTATGCACAGCACGGAGTGAATGAGACTCGCAAGGCCTTTTTGATCTGGTTGCAACTGGGGAAAGAAGTCGCCAACTGCTACGACAGGTATCTCCGACTCCTTCATTTTTCCATATTTTCATTCAATTCTGGGCACTTTAATTATGTTCTGGACATTTTTATTCAATTTTGAATTTCACTTTTGATTCTGGTTATTGCTGATCAAAAAATTGGGTATTGACTATTTTCGAGCATTCATAGTCATTTTTGGCGTAAGCTGATTTTAATAGTCAAACTTAGCTTGATTTTAATTTGAATATTTGATGAGGGAGGAAATTTTAATAGTCAAACTTTGGATATTTGGTGATGGAGGATATTTATAGGCCATTTTTTTGAAGCAAAAACCTTAATCGGTTGTTGTTTTTAGACTGCACCATTACACAGAAGAAGAAATCAGGAAGGAGGGGTTCAAGGAACCCCTGGTGAACAAACTATGGATTGAGGCCCAAAAGTCGAACATGACCAAACTGGAGATGCAAAAGTTCAAGTCAGAGTTGGACGCATTCCAGAACAAACTAAAAAAGAAGGAGAACTTGGTAAGAAGCTAAAATTTTGAAGCAAACCAGTCAAGATAATCTATTGAACACGGCTGGAAAACTTTTAGAAAGGACTCATATTTCGAACAACTTGGCACCTGCTTAACATTTATCAAGTACTAGTGCTGTTGGCCAAATTTTTCGTAAATATTCCGGATAAAGGAGTAATAAGACGAAAAAATTTGACGAAATGACCTAATAATAACCCTCACAAGCTTTAATTGAACGTTTCCGGCTATAGCTATAAGGGCATCGGCTCTCTCTTCAGAAAAGGAATGCTATAGCAAGGTTGAGTTATGTATACGAAGTTAATCTGAATCTGTTTATCATTGTGGTTCTTTCTGGCTGAAACACTTGGAAAAAATGAACTTTCGTGTTTCCTTCTTTATTTGCTTTACGTGTGTCTTTTTTATTATGTTTTTTTTCTAGTTTCATCCAGCTATCTTAGCGTTGCATACCATTTTCATATTTGATCTCATTGGGTTGTTTTATACGCTTTCGGGGTTTGTTTTGCAAGTTTTCTGCCAGATCTTTTAAAAGAAAATTCAACTTCTTTTTTGGGGCAATTGTTTGAAACTTTTGTATTCATTTGTTCTAAAACTTTTTATGTCATTTTTTTCTGTCGATATGATCTTCACATATTACAAATAGTGAAAAAAGTTTTCGCTTATCTTTGTAATGTTCCTGTAAGACAAAATGAAATGCAGATTCTTTGGTTACTTTTTTTCTTATTGTTTCTTTTTACTGGTTATAGAAAGAAAAGAATGGAGTTTATTAGTCCGAATCCTTCTTATGTGTTAGATAATTGATTTTTATAACAATGCAAAAAGGTTCTGATTGTTTTTTAAGCGTACAACATTTCATTTAAAATTTTCTCTTTTGGTTTGAGTCAATTTTTTTTCGGCTTTTTGTTTTGAACCGCAAGTAGTGAGAATTTCAGCTTCGCCTCAGAGCTAAATTTTGTAACTCTTCGCTAGCTTATGTTTTCGGCGCCAATCAAATTTAAAAATACTATAATTTAAATTCTGCTATATACATGACAGAAAATTTGGATGGATGACTTTTCGTGATTTTTTGATCAAATATCCAAAACTGTAAACAAAAATTTAAAACTCTGCATGCATTGTTTGTTAGAAAATTTTTTGGCTCTTTTCCAGTCCCCTATTTCAAATTCAGTTTTGATAAGCTTATCTAAAACTGCTATAATGCAACAAATTTTTGCGTGGTGAACAAATTGACAGCTGTGAACATATTTGTAATTCATTCTTAACAGCGTAACATCACTCATTTAGCCGTAATAACACATAAAACAGAAATAAATCTTGGTATTCTGAAAGCAGGGAAACTGGAAAAGAGCCGTTTTTTTTGAGACCGTACTGATTTTGAGACCAAAGGATTATGAGACAGAACTGATTTTGAAAAATTTTTACGTCGCTGTTTTTTTGACATTTTCAAGATTCTATTCTTCCTAAAAATAGGCTAATCATACAATTTCCAAGTGAAAAGCATGACAAAACTTTTTCATAAGCTCCTTATATAGAATTGTGCGACCAGTTTTCTTAAAACTCCATATATTGAACTCTATGTCTAGCATTTTCAGTGTATGTTGATCAACTCTGGTACCCCGACTGCTCTTTAATGGTCTCTAATAGTTTTTGTTGAAAATTATTTTCATTACTTTGGCGAATACCCAATAACTTTGTTTAAAGAATGGTCAAAATTGAAAATGGTAAATTAAGGTTCAGCTCAAAATGAATTCAAATATCCTTGCGTCTCCGGCACACATGGTCTGGAGGAAACGAATGCGAATACACCTGGGAGCGCACAGTCCTGGTTTGAATCTGTCATGACCTGTTTTTTTTCCAAACTGGACTTAGTCCACTTAAAAAAATTGTCGGCTTTTTATTGTCTGCTTATGTTTTGTCGGCTTAATTGGCATCTTTCAGTAATAATTTTATTTAATTTTTTCCACAGTTTTGTTGCTCTCAGTGTTCTGCTATACCTATGCTGTTTGCAGTCTTTTATTCTTGACTTTTTTTTGTTTTTGTTTTTTTTTTCGCTTAAAATTTTGTTCTGTCCAAAGAATTTCGGCCTATTTTTTATTGACTGAGTGACTTAGTTTCAAGCTTTTTCGACGGAAACGTGTTTTTTATGCTCACCTCTGAATCACAAAAAATGCTGAAAATCTTATGAAAAGTTTTAGTTCAAGTTTTTCATAACGACAATTTTTGTTCGGTTTTTTTGTTTTTATTTTTGCTTTTTTCGTCTTGACAGGTTTTGGTCTGTATTATATCATTTTATTATCAGCATATAATGTATTCGAGGATCAAAAAAATTTTCTGCATGTGCGTGTCATATAATTTGAGGGCGAGGAGGACTGAATAAGTTCTTATTAGTCTTAACTTTTTTGAATTTTTTTTCGGTTCTTTCTTTAATTTCCTTTTTTGAGCTTAATAGGTTCTGGCCTACTTTTTACCTGCTTAGCGGTCTCTTTTTGTTTCATTTGACGAGCAAACAAGTTTTCCTGAGTGTTTGTGTTTTTTGAGGATGGAGGGATTTACCAACTTTTCAAAGGTCTTAGGTCTTGTTGATTTTTTTATAGGCTTTAAAGTTCTCTGACACGGTATTTTTGGTATTCTTTACTGCTGGGTACCTTATCTTCCGATGCTTATTTCACATTATATTGTCTTGGCATGTTTGTGTTTCAGAGCTAGCTTTATCTTTTACTGTTCTTGCTTACATCTGCTGATTGTAATTTTACTAACCTTGATTTCGTATTAAATTGTTTTTCTTTTCGTTTTTAAGTTTCATTCTGCCCATGTGGTTCTGGCCAGGTTTTAAATAACTTAGTGACTCAATTTTGAGTCGTTTCAACAAAAAAAAATTATTTTTTTTGCGCTCACCTCTTGATTGCGAAAATGCTGAAAATTTCAAAATATTGATAGAGATTATGGCTCAAGTTTTTCATGACAACATTTTTTTTTGCTTTTTTTTCCTATTTTTGACTTGATAGGTTTCGTTCTATATTATATTGTCAAATTGACCTTAAATCGCGTTTTTTGACAAGTTAAAAAATCCGTATCCGTGGGTGTGTTCCATATGTTTCGAGTGAGATGGGACTTAATATTTTCTTTTTAGTCTCATATTTTTAAATCTTTTGGTCGGCTCTCTCTTTGTTTTTTTGGGCTTTATAATTTATGACCTGTATTATTTTGGCTTAGTGGACTCATATTGATTTATTTGACGAGCGAATAAAGTTTTCTGAGTGTTTGGTGTTTTGTGGGTGAGGGGACTTATCAAATTTTTATAAGTCTCAAGTTTTATTGATTTTTCTTGGCTTAAAGGGTTTCTGACAAAGTATTTCAGCTTTGTTTACCGCTTGGAAGTTCTCAAAATTCCTCATTTTTCTTCATATGTCCAATTCACACTAACTCTTTCCGAAAGTGTCCATTTTCAGGATGAAATTTTTTGATAATTTTTCAATAACTTCTGTAACTTTTTCCTAAAATGTCTACTTATTGAGAGGAAATTTGACGATGTTTTTTTCAAGTTTCCTTTTCTGTCCACCTCATGGATATGGTTCTGGTGTATAACAAGTATGCCGAAGCTAGTCATCCAAGGAGCGGTTTGTGAGTGAAAACTGGAAGGACGTGCCAAAATCCAGTGTAGAACTGTCTGAAGCTAATGTGTCAGTAAACCAGATTTGGATGAGTTTGTTCACTGTTTCATGATTTGGGCAAATTTGGCAAAAACCGCCAGACAAAAAATTCGTTAATAAAACAGAGTTATCGGAAAGCTAGCCATATCTTTCAAGAGGAAATACGTACATTATACTTGCATTTAAAAAAATTTTTCGACCCTGTGGTCAACCCGAGATAGTTTTTTCATTTGATTTTCATAATTGTTTTTTCCAAGATGGATGAATTTCTCAAAAAAAGTCATAATAAAAAAGTTTCGTTTTATTTCAATAATTTTAATTTCTTCAAGTTATTACTGTTCCATAGAACTTAAAAGGCAGTAAAATTATTCAGGGCTTTGCGCTGATACGATGTTGGGGTTTAGATATTGCCAATTTAGCCAATTTGGGTCAACTAACGCGCGATAAATTTCGCGCTGTTAACGCGTATGCGGTGATTTAATCCGGCTCAGATATCGTTTCAAATTGTTTGAAGGAAGCTTATTTGTCATAATTGATTTGTTACTAGGAGCAAAATTTATCTCTTTGTACTTTATATGGCGTGTTGGGGGATGATTTTCACAAAAAATCTCGGCTCTTTTCCAGTCCCCCCTTTCAAAACACCGAGTTTTATATTTGTTTTACGTATTATTACGGCTAAATGCGTGATTTTACGCTGTAAAGTATGAAGAACAAATCTGTTCAGAATTGTCGATTTGTTTACCACGCCAAATTTCATTGCATTATGACAACGTTAAATAGGCTTTTCAAAATTGAATTGGAAAGGGGGGGGGGGAACTGGAAAAGAGCCAAAATTTCAAATTAAAACAAAAATTTATTTTATTTTATTGGATTTAATTTTTTCATATTTTTACTGCTCCGTAGACCTTAAAAGGCAGTCGGAATATTCAGGGCTTCCCCCTGATACGACTAGTTTTATTTTATGTTTTTCATCAGTTCAATCGGTCATATCGGCATTTCTAAGAGATAAACCAAAACGAAAAAAAATTGTTCATTTCTTCAGAACGAAAAAAAAACCTTTCAACAGTTTTGAGAAAAACAATTGGGAGCTGTTTAAATTTTTTCAATTTAAAAAGTTTCGTTAGACTATTTTAAGGTCTCGTTTTTTCCAAGCGATTTCATGCATCTAAGAGAAAGCTCGGCGAGGATCGAGTTTGGCTTTCTACTCCTAAGTTATAAACCTTTTTAGTCCAGAAGTGCTGAGTCAAATTTGATTGATTTGATTTTTTTAGTTGAAAAAAGTCGCGGTAAAACATAATTAGGTTCTAAAATTAATTCGTGGAATTGTCATAAGTTTTTTGAATTCGATTTGAATAATTCTTTTTCCTAGTTTGCACAATAATTTGAAATTGGACAACAATTTTTTTGAGAGGTAATGAAAATGGAGAGGTACTTCCAATTGAGTGTGCTTGTTACCACTTAAAAACAAGTTCTACAAATTACCGTCAGATGAGTTTTGAGGCATATATTGCTGCGAAGCAATTTTTTGCGGGTTCATATAGATTTGAAATGCTTCCAAAAATTGCCCCATTTCCTCAAAAAGTTTTTGAAGTGTCGGTGGAGGGAGAGACTGGATGAACAAAACTTGAAACTGTCATCATTTTTGGGTCGATCAAATTGATGTTCTGAAGTCCCTCTAAACACCAAAAAGACCAAAAATGCTGGTGATTAAACTGTTTTCTTTGATAAAGAAATCTGTGATCGGATTGTAATGTAGTAGTATGGCACAGCAATCGTCTGTTATTATTGGTATTCGAATTTTTGTTTAAAATTGTGATTTCATACACTATCACAAAGGTTGAAATCATCAATTAAGTTTTCTTTTCAAATGTTTAGGTGAGACACGCTTCAGAAGTGGAGAGAAGATACACCCATCGAATCAAGAACGACGACCAACTGCCCCACCCAGTCAAAGTAGACATGGCTACTCAGGTGGAAATGATTTCTACTAAACTACATAGATCATTTCTCACTATTTCATTTATTAGCATTTTTGATGGCGCGGGGGGGGGGGGGGGGGGAGGGGCTGCTTTGGGAGTTTATTTTCAATCTGACTGGAGAATGTTTTTCAAGAAAAAGTAAGCTACCTTAACCGCAAAATGTGCAGAACACTCGATAGGCATTTAAAAAAATAAACAACTTGTTCTCGTTTTGAAGAGGAATTTATTTAATTATAACTGCTTCCAATTATCTTTTATTTTGTTTTCCTATTTTCTGACCTTTTTGCTCAAATGTGACGAAGCTTTCTAGTTAAATCAACCTTTTTTTCGAAAATCGAATATCATTTTTAATTGCCTTCAGGTAAAGAAGATGCGAGAAGAACACAAATCGAGACGGGAGGAACTTTCTGAGTGGTATAAGAAACTGACATCCAAACTGTTCTCAACCATTCCGGATCATCTGCCTGACGAACTTTAACTCAAAACTGACAATTTTTGGCTCCGAACTACTGTAAACTCCCTCTACTTCTCTTCTCTTTTTCTAAAAATTCGTGTACTATCTGTAAAATTTTCAGAGTGGGGAATGATTTCCATATAAAGAGCTCACTCCTCATTTTCAATTGTAATCTTCTAAAGATAAAGTAACAGTTACGCAAGCTATGCTATCCTCTCATTAAGACTTTAACATAATCTTTTTTACGCGACTTGTAAATCAACTTGACAAAAAATCCAACAAATGTTATGTGAAAACTTTGGTGCTTGTTTTTTTCTTGACGAAGATACGTGTAACTATTAACATCATCAATAAATTTGTAAAACGATTTTTCTGAAATCCTTTATACCTCGCGCGAGGTCAAAATTAACACAAGTTAGACCAAGAAGGTCGGACAAATTTTTGAATGATTAGGTCCAGCACAATCGAGCACATTTTACTTGGTCAAATAAGATACTTCTAGCAATGAATCTTTCAGCACTTATCTTAAATTGGTTTCTCAACCGTACAGAACTAAAAGAAAAATACAGATATACCTAGGGTTAATCCATTTGTTGTGAGACTGCATATCTGCCCTGAACTGCATTATACATAATCAGACCTGAAAAATTCAAAAATCAATGTTACAGAAATAAAAGAAAAACACAGATATACTCAGTGTTGATAAAAATTTTTTTGAGATTGCATATTTGTCCTGAAATGCAACATACCTGTTCAGACCTGGATAATACAAATTTTTATGATACAGATACCAAAGAAAAATACAGATATTCCCAGTGTTAATCTAATCGTCTTAACTACATTAACTTCTTCATACCTTTTATATTTAACTACCCTGAATTAGCTATGAGTTTTTGTTTTGGAATTTTTGCATTGTTTTTCAAGTTTTGTTACGTGTCTTGTTGTTTGGTAAAAACAGAATTTTTAACTAAAAACAGTCCAAAAAGAAATTTGAAATTTGAAACGATTAAAGATATCAAGCTTGTTGATGGCATGAGAAATTTGACGTCAAAATTGAGTTTTGAATTGATAAGGTATAGCTAGTTCATTGCCGCAATGCATCATTTTATAGCTCATAGTTGTCAATTCGTAAAATTTTATAGCTCATTAATATCAATTCATCTTTAAGGACTTGTTTTTAAAGCGCTCGCAATCGCGGATATCAAAACGTCTTGATAAAATCTTGACGAATGTTTGCGTTTTTATTTTGTGTTTTCAAGATTCTTGGAGTTTCCTTAAATATATTAACCAATTTTCAAGACTTTTGACACGATCTCTCCAATTTCTTTACGAATTTTCTTCGTGATTTTCCAGAGAATCTTCAAGATTTGACAAAGATGGCAACGATTGTTAGGCTCAGATGTAGATTGAGAAACTGAAGGCCATCAATTCAATCATCCGAATCATTTGAATCGAATCAATTGTTGAAAAATGTTCGTAGTGTCACCTCATACCTCCTGTATAATTTTTCAGAAATCTAAATGAAGAATTTGTTAATTGATTCTCTCATGCATGCGCAACATATTTTATCTTCTTAATCAATTTTGCCTTTTTTCCGTTCATTTTGAACGTAATCTAAATAGATTTACCAATTTGAAAAGAAATTATAAGATAGACAGAGAAAGCAGGAGAACAGAATTGACGAGCCGTAGCTTACAAAAACTTGAAAATCAGATCTGAGCTTTGTAAAATCTTGCCTATTTCACATCTTGTGTACACATGATCTATGTTTTGTTTGGACATGGTCATTCTGAAACAGGACTGAGGCAGGTATGGGTTTTCTCAGAAATGCAGACTTGCTCAAGGCCAGGCTTAGACCTGGAACAAACATGGGTCAGATATGAGAAGATATGACCCATGTAATTTCTAGATCTGAATGTGGGTGGCCTTGAGCAGGTTTGTATTTGTTACAAAATCCATACCTGCCTCAGTCCTGATTGAGACATGTCCATGTTCAAATGAAACATGGACTATGGCTGCACAAGATCTGAAATAGGCAAGGTTTCAAGAAGCTCAGATCTGATTTTCAAGCTTTTGTTAGGTACGAGCATCTGCCCAGATAATGTATAACATCAATTGCAGTAAAACGCAAATTCGGCGTCGCGTTTAGTTTCTACCAGAAACTATCAGAGTCCAAAAGAAAAATTTCTTTAACACCTGAGACTGAACAAATTTTTTCTTTTCTTTTTTTCTCATACTTTTGCTTTGATTTGTGTATGTTAAAAACATTTGTCGCAAGAGGGTTTTTGAATAAAAAAACCAACTTGATTGTTATTACAACTGCCCACAAGATAGTTAATTGGGCAAAAAATGAATTATTTTCTAATAGCTTCTTTATCCATTAAATATACGATTACTGCTGTTGAGAGAATAAAGATAACCGGTTGCTGGGCAAGTAGCACAGACTGTTCCGACCAAGACAAATGGCACAGACTGTTCCGACCAAACTCATGTAAAACACATTTCTTTCTTCGAATAAGCGTCGTTTTCAGTGTGTGTGTTACGAGAGTATTACAAACGCAACGCAAGTCAGTGAAAAAGACACAATCTGCCTTATTTATTTTTAAAAAGTTAAGGAAAAGCAAAAAAAAATTATGTAAAATATTCTCTAACACAATTTTTTTGGCCTAAAAATTTCAAAAAAATTTCGAAAAATTTTGCCAAAGAAGCGCTAAATGAAGCCTTCTAGACCAAGTTTCTGTTATTAAATTGATTTCATACATAATAGCCGCGCTTAGCAAAGGTAATTGTTGGGTTGTTGGCACCTATTTGCATAAGGATTCAAAATTATTTCTCACATTCTACCCACACACACATTTTTTTTGTGTAGAACCTTCAGAAAAATTCCATGGTTTGGCAACAATTTTTTGAATTGACTCGGGATTTTGTAAGCTCAGGCTGTGACAGAAATACGGGCAGTTTTTAAGTTTTGAAGTCTAAACAGTTATGCAGCAAGTGCAGGTGTGGGTAAGGACAATTTTGAGTTAGATTTGATCACAAAAATTTTAGACCTTAAAATGGTGTTCCTAATTAAAACTGAAAACAGTGATTATAAAACAAGACAGGTGGAACTAATTCACAAAACGCGATATTTTGCAGTGAAAAGTTTTAGGGAATACTAAAACTGGCAAGGGTTGTGGCAAACGAAACATAAATATTTTTCTTTATAGTTGATGTAAAAAAGTTTGCCAACAAAAATTTTAAAGGCTAAACAAGCGAAGATGATCGCAACTGCAGCAAAAAGATCTATCACAAGTGTACAATCACTACGTGCAATAATGTGTTCTCCAATGTTTCTGAAATGAGTAATGGCTCTTGTGTATCATAAGCAATAAAAATTAAAATAGACCCAAACCCTGATAAATTTTAGCGTCTGATGGACAGTTTACAAAATTGCTCTCCAGAAACGTAACCAGTAAAGGCCTATTTATTGGGGAAGAATTGAGATATAGTTAGGTAGCCCAAATACTACAGCTTTAGCTAATTGAATAATAATAAGAAAACGGGAAGTCTTCCTGGGACATATTGGGATATTTTAAAATGACAAGTTCAATCAAATAAGTTACCGCGGTGTTCATTGTCAAAAGTGGAGATTAAAATCAAAACCTTGATTCAAATATTGGTCAAAATCGAGATAAAACTACTTCATTACTATGTATTTGCTGGAGAAATTTCAATCACACTGTCAACAATCGATTTACTTGTGAAGTTTTGGAGTTGGTTGTGGTTTTTTATCTACAGCTTTGGAATGGAACGTAAATTTAGCTACGGACGGAATGGAAACGTAAAACACATCTTCAACAGTTAAACCCTTGGGGCAAGTGAGACATCCGAGAAGAATCGCCAAAATTAAGTATGTACAGGAAAACTAAAGTATGGTGAGAGAAACAGAGGTGCTGTGCACGGGAAGTACTGATGAAACCATGATCGAAGTACGAGAACACCAAATTGTAGGACAACTCAAACAAAAACAAAATGGATTGAGTGCAATTATCAAATACAATTACAATGGCTTTCGTGGAAAAATATTTTTCTTCAAAAAAATGCAGATAAAGTTATAATTAATCAACATGCCACCGAAAAGAGCATCAAGTTGTCGAAGTTGCCTCAAGTTGGAAAATATATTCTACGGAAACTCTTCGAGACAAGGACTGCGGCTCGACCGAAAGCATTTTCAATTTTTGGAGGTTAAATACCAAATTTCGAACTGTCGCTCCACCCGAGCAACTGAAGCCATCAAATGTGGTGAGCAGACTACCACTATCAAGGAATGAATGGAATAACCTAAATGAGGAGATTCAGTAGGCTCAAATAATTTTGAATCACATCGAGACGCTTGGGTGGTACAATTTACTGACGGTAAGTGTTCAATTTGCTGACGGCCTGCGAAAATCCAGTTTTGAAGCGTCTGCTCTACAGAAAGAAACTCTATAAACTGGAGGAAACTGTAAGCGACTCTGTTTTTCAGCTAAAAACTCTCCAGATCGAGAAGAGCTCTCTTGTGAAATTGCATAGGATAACGATCTCCGGTAATGAGAAGGACCTAAAAAAGTAAAGAAGAGACTAAGTGCAGAGACGTTTGCCAAAGAGTTTTTGTACAAAAGGATTCAACTGGATCGTGGACAAAGCCTGTGTTTGGTTCCTCTCAGTCTGTATGATATGTTTCTACTTCCTGAGCTGACAAGAGTGGAGACGGTGACGAGGTATCTAAGAGGACTCTCCCTGCTCTGTCATCTGAGAAAGGAAAAAAGAAGCAGTGATTCAAAGTTCTCGTCAAGCAAGAAAAATCCTGGAGGATGCCAACTCCATGAAGATATACGATGAATATAGCCTAGATATTGCTGAGGAAATTCCTCATCAACAGAATAATAGACTGTTCAACTTTTCCGTGTTTTTCCTCAGTGTGTGCTAAAAATAAAACTGTTATTCTGCAACACATTTATCTTTTTGATAAGATACAGCCATACTAAGTGGCCAAGTTGTGAATGGAACAACAATTTTGCAGATGGTTAATAATGTAGACAAGCAGAGGTTTATTTTATGAAAAATGTCAATGATACAATTTAACCTAGTTAAACTAACTTGTATCATATATTTTTTATTTAAATGAGCTGACAACAACACGGAAAATGAATGATCTGAAAGCAAACGCATTGTTAGAGGGGAA